GTGTTTCATAGGAGACAATATAAAGTGGATTGACTGTATTTAGTGGACAAAATGCCATAGCGAATTCTGCACAGCAATGTCTCACTAACACCAACGGAGTGAGAGACCAATTTTATTTGGAGAATTTGTTGGCCAGGACACTAGTTTCTTGTTTTATGAGTTTTAGCTTGGCCTCTTAGCCAATAAATGGAGCCTATGTGTTCCTCGTATGATGAGCTCCTAGTTTTACCACACAATAAAATAACAACTTATATAGTTCACCATATGAGAAGCTTATTAACATCCACCTTATCAAATTTGAAGATAATCCCAACATGTGTGGGGCCTGGTGACTAGAAATAAAATTCAAAATGTTCTGGAGTAGCCTTGCTTCCTACGTTGCCTCCTTCAAGGCCCATCTCAAGGCTTTCTTTTTGACCCAATCTTTGGTCATCTTCTCACCAACCCCACTTGCTGTCCATCCCTCTTGACTCCAGCCTGGTGCAAACCCTTGACTGTCCACTGCCTGGGGTCATCGTCCCGATGTAAAAGGCGTTATATAAATGTTGTTGTTATTTCATTGTATGATGAAACTAGGAGCTCAGCATACAAGGAAGGCATTGATGAGGCTCCCTGTCCCATCACACTGGGTGTTGGATGCAACTCTCAAACAAGAGAGGGCTGGGATTGTGCCCACACCAGCAAGACAGAATTGTGATTGCACCATCAGTAGAAGGTCAAGTCCAGTAAACCTCTAACTCCCCACTTATCTATAATGTTTGTGGCACAGTGATCTATAATTAAACTGATTATTGGGAAACATTCATGGTCAGACTGCCTATCTCATTTCAAGCCTTGTGAGCAGAAATGAACCTGGGGAAAAGGGTAAGATAATTTTGCAGCCAGATTTCACTGTGCTAACGAGCTCTCAGAAATGCTTGTGCAACTTAGGCAGAAATATGATCTTGACGTCAGTTCAGGAGCACGTAGAAGAGAACCAATTAAAGGAAATATGAAAGCGAAGCCTTTTCAGCTCAACTGTGCAGAAGCCACAGATGGAAAAAATAAACCCCTTGGACAATAGCCAAGCATCAAACACAGCCTGTACCCAACACACAAAGCAGGAGCAAATAAGGGACAGGAAAATAGATACAACCAACAGCCAAGGGCCAATGCTTTTTTAACTTTGCCTGTACAGTAAAACTCACATAAATCGCATTAGTCGGGACTGTAACATTTAATATGATCTACGTGAAGTGCGAGTTGCAGGCAAACTGTGTAAGTCGTATTAAATCCAATCAACAATCTACACAGCACATAATTCATTGCAGCTGGTAAGTGCACATGCAGTGACAGGTCAAGACAACATTTCTTTTCACTCAATGCGCTTTGACCTGTGACCACACGTGCACTTTCCGACAAGCATTGGAATGGCATTGAATCTCGGGAAATAAAGTTACTTCCGCTTGCATCAATGAATCAAGACGATTCAATGTGGCCAGTAAGTGCGGGAATAATGGAGGATAGCAGAGTGCTGTTACTCATTAGGAGGTGATTAACACGAGAAGTGCAAATAAAACTAAGTGGTTTTGATAAAAAACTGAATGGAACTCGACTGAATGGGACTCAGGTGAATGTACGGACTTAGGCGATTATACAAATTATAAAGATAAGACTTATACGAGTTTTATTGTAGAATAACTAGCACATTTCAATACTGGTATTCCATGACTTGCTCTCCCACTGTCTCAGCTCCCTGTGTGCAGTGATTGAAGCTTTGTAACAAACCCAGGTTCTCTTTCAGTGGTTTGACAGGAGTTCATAAGATGCACGTGGAAGAAATAATGAGGGAAAAATTAAAGCATCACAAAAGATCAAAAAGAGAAAGGTTGGGAGTTTTTTTTTTCTTATATACACACACACAGAAGGCTATTAAGACAGAGTACGCCTACCAAAAACTGGTTGAAGTGGAATCCATAATCACTTTTACAAGGGAATTAAACAAATACACTTTAAATGGAAAATTGGTAATGGAGGAAAGCTGGGGAAGGTGGGTTGAGTAAATCGCTCTTACAAAGAGCCAGAACACCAATGACGATCTTTTTCTGTGCTGAAGCACTCTAACGTTGTACAATTCCAGCATAATGCTCAACTGGAATTGATTGCTTTCCAACTGGGATGTGGGAGGCCAATACTTTCAGTGAACATATAAAAAATGGTCTCTTGCAGGGAATTAGAACATTTTTAGGCTCCAGGGGTGGGGGAGAGGAGGCGTAGAGGGAGAAACATCATTATCGATTCCCTGAGAACCATTTTGCAAACATCGAATGGCTTTTAAAGGAGAAACAGAAATCTGCCACCCAATGCATGTCAGATTATAACAGAGGATATTTACAGGATGGGCACCAATATATACATACATATACAATCTATACCAATGCACCTGATATCTTCCTGCCCTCCTGAACCTAACCCCGAGTAGATTGATGACGTATGTCAGACGAACATACAGTTTACAAGTACATAGTTACTGCACTTTAACTGTGGAGCTAACTTTAACGCCACTTTAATATATCCAGTGAAGCGTTTTGAGAAGTCCTAACACAGACCTGCGTGCCTAGTGAACCCCTCCACACCACTATCAGCGCCCGTGCCTTCAGCCACTATGTCCCTCAGTCTGGAACTCCATTTGTCAATCTACACGGTTCCGTAGTGTAGTGGTTGGGGTTCTCACTTCACAAGTGAGAGGACCCGGGTTCGATTCCCTTGGTCCACACACCTCTGTTCACCTAGCAATAAGTAGGAACCCGGTTGTTAGTTGATCAGTGGATCACTTTCCAGGAGTAACAATCCCTTAAAAAAAAGGTCGTTCAATCCACGACTGTTTATGGGACGCTGCTGTGCACAAATGGCTGCCGCATTTTGCTCACAAAATATACAGTCAATTCACTTTGCAGTACATTCTGTGAAGCACTTTGAGATGTTGTGAAGATATAAGGCGCGATATTAAATGCAAATATTATTTTTTCCCCAGTGCAGTTCCTATTTACACTTTCATCTGCAAAGCCCTTTGGTCTCAATTCTTTCACCAATTCAACTATGTGTCCCCAAATGGTGTGCACTGAGCAAATCACCAGACCAGCTGAAATCACCATCACTTTTCAAATAAAAGTGGGACACACCTTTTAAAGCATGTCATCCTGGCTCAGTTTACAGCACTCTCACCTCTGAGTTTGAGCCATACAATTGGGGCCTGAGCTCAAAGTCTTGTCTGACACTCCAATGCCAGTATATTCTATGGGCAAATGTGACATTTGCCTATAAAAGGAGCGCTGCATTGTTGGAGGTGCCATTCTTCAGATGGGACATTAAACTGTCTGCTTTCTCAGGTAGACGTTAAAGAGCAACATCATTATTCAAAAAGAGAAGGGCATTTCTCCCGGCGTCCTGGCCAACGATCCCTCGTATAAAATATAAAATTGGTCATTCACATCATGACTGTTTATGGGATAATGCAGTGTGCAACTTAGCTGCCACATTTGCCTATAAAGTATACAGTCACTGCACCTTGTAGTGAATCTTATGAAGCACTTTCAAATGGTCTCCCAACGTAAAAAGCGATACATCAAACGTGAGCATTATTATTGTTATAAAGTAAATTTAACTTCACAACAACAAACTGGACTTGTCTCTTTAAAATGATATAGCCTGTGCTCCAATATACTCCTGTAACTCAGCAATGCAGACTCATTGCTTCACTGTTTGATCCATATGCTCCCAATCTGGAACCATCCAATGAATAAACCAGTAACACGAGACATGCAACAGCCCAGCAACTCCACTATTCATTAATTGGAGAATATTAATAATTATCATCATAATCTTAACAATAATAATGACCTTTAGTTTCTGTCTGCTCACATCACAAGGACTGGTGATTGTTGAAGTCCATCCAGTCTGCAAGACCGAATTTTGCTGAAGACAATTTTTGGTCATAACAAAGTGTTTCTCTGAAGTACAAGTTTGTTTGTTCATAACATTGAAGATGTGAACTTTGCTCTGTGTGTACGATGTGCTGAAGGGTTCAGAAGTTAAACTTCCAATCTCTGTCCTTGTACTCACTCTCTCTGACAACATTTGAATTTTGAATATCAGATGCATTCAAGCTGTCAAAGAAATGCCAAAGAAACCAATAACAACTTACATTTTAATAATAATAATCCTTGCATTTGGTAAAAGCGCCTTATCGTGTTGGAAGGACATCTCAACATGCTTATCAGGATTTACTGTACAGTGGATTGACTGGATATTTGGAGGCAAACATAGCAGCCCAATTGTGCACAGCAATATCCTACAAACAGCCCTGGAGTGAGTGATCAATTTTATTGGGGGGATTGTTGGTCAGGACACTGGGAGAAAGAAACTCCCTTCTCTATTCGAATAGCGCCATGGGATCTTAAACTTCCACCTGAACAAGCAGATGGGACTTCGGTTTAATGTCTTATCCCACGATTCAAAGCGCCTTGACCCATCGCTGCATGGGTGCTCATTACTGGTACCAAGGCAGTAAGTGGGACATAAAGATTTGCCGTGACATAAGTAAATGACGTGATGGGCTGAATGGCCTCCTCGGTCACTGTGTTGCTAATAAGAGAGAAAGTTGTTTAATTTTCAGCTTCTCAGGAGATTCAGTTGAAATCCAAACAGAGCAACCCAGAGTTCAGCTGCAAGATTCCTGACACCAGTTTGCAAAATGTATTTGCCGTTTGCATAGCAACAAATAATTAAATATGATGAGGCCTGCGATCTCCAAGTCAGTTAACAATTACCAGGAATATCAGCATCTGATCACCACAATGTTATTGTACGCCCACCCACCACACACACCCACCACACCACATATCACGCACTACACCACACATCGCACACACAACAACACCCCCACCTCAGGTGAGTTCTAAAGTCTAGTGTGAACACCTGAACAATCAACCTGAACCTTTCAGCTCTTCTTATTCACTGACCTTTCAACACCACCTCCAGTTCGCCTCTGAGAACGTGAAAGGTGCTGTAATGGGACTTGGTCTCTGGGATGATGTATTTCTTCAGCCACCCTCCACATGCGTACTGGTAAAAGTTCTCACAAGGGTCCACCCTGGAATCCAAACTCTCAAGTATACGAGCAGCTGAGGAACAAGTGTGATAAAGTACAAGATTTGACACTAAGTGTGTGTGAGGCGAAGGCACAGTCTATTGTACAGTACTTAAGTCAGTTATTCGAGTCCTCCACAAAAACACAGCAGTGCCCTCCCAAGAGATATGGGGAGGTTTCGAAGGAACACTTTCACACAGACAGTTACTAGATTTACTAGACCACGCAATGTTTTGCCACAAGCGGCTATCGAATTCAAACCATAATAATGTTTACAAGGGAATTGGAAAAGATAACTCGAGAGAAACAACATTATAAAGGGAATGGGAAAGTGCGGGGGAATGGGATTAGAGAGCACCAGCACAGACCATAAGCATACCCCAGCCTTTGTAATTTGTATTATTCTCAATCAATATAGGATGCCACATCTGATCCTGCCTCAAGTGGTTGATTTACCCAAAAAAACAATATTTAAAAGTCTGACATTGAAACGTAAGGCTTTCTGTGCTGCTTCTGTTGTGCTCACCTGCTGAGATGCACATTGGGGTCTGACAAACATCATCTGTGGAGAAAACAAGGACAAAATCACAAAGTGAACCTTTGGCTCCTTTAAATACCCTAAATATTTTGTTTTTGGGGAACAGGAATTTCTAGCTTGTATGCCAGAAATATAGCCACTTCACTTCAAGTGCCTGTGCCTGAATTTGTTATGTTGAGCTGATTGTAAGGGTGCAATCAATGTGTGTGTATATATATATAATATACAAACACTTTTTTTTAAAAAACACAGTAAAATTGTGTATGACCAAGTCATGGAAATACCCTGACAACCAAGTGCTTAACTCATTAGTGCTGGAATTGGTGTCACATTGTCTAAAATGACACTCTAGTGCAAGGCTGGGAGGGGGTTGCATTGTTAAAGATGCCATCCTTCTCACGAAACATTAAACCGAGGTCCCATGGATGTTAAAGATCCCATGGCACTATTTGAAAAGAGGAGGGAGTTTCTCTCTCCCAGTCTCCTGACCAGCAATCCCCCAAATAAAATTGGCCACGCATTCTATGAGTATATGTAGGACATTGCCGTGTGCAATTGGCCTCCACTTTCGCCCAGAAAATACACAGTCACTGCACTTTACAGTATATCCTGTGAAGCGCTTTGAGGCATCTCAATGAAGTGATAAGGCACGATATCAAATGCAAGGTATTATTAGTATTATTATTATTGGCTGCCTGGTCTCTATCAGGTCTGTTATTCGGCAATGCTTCTAGGCGCCCTGCCCCACCCACAGTCACATCAGGTAAACAGCACGAGGGGCCAGAAACTACATTGTCTAGCGGGTTTATAGCCGAGAGCGGTATTTATAGCGGATTCCGCAGAAAAATTGCGGCCGCACTTTTCTATTTCTCCTGATTATGGGGAAAAAGCAGGAGAGTGGGACGAATTGGGTGACTCTTGCAAAGAGCCGGCACAGGCAATGATGGGCTGATTAGCCTCCTTCTGTGCTGTAAAATTCTGTATGAATGCACTACCTGAGATACACAAGCCAATATAAAGACCTAACACTCGGGGACTTGGACTCACCTTTGCTTGTTGCATACAAAGCAATTAAAGTAACCACCACAATGAGCAGGAGGATTATGATAGCAGTCAATCCAATCTCCAGAGAGGACCAGGGGCTCAATGACTTCTTAGATTTCGGTGCGTTTCTGTCAACTATGTCCATTTCGCTTTCAGACTTGTCCATAACAAATCTACGGACAAAGGCACACAAATTATTTCAACAGCAAAACTGGTACATCAAACATGGAAACTTGCCTAAGGTTTCGTCCTGCCCAGGAATCGAACCTGAGACCTCTTGCTTGCGAGGCGAGAGCTCTGAACAATACGCTACAGGGCTCCACATCTGCAACTTTTACTCGTTCCCTCCAGCAGTCCAGAAGGATTCAGGCATGGTGATGTAATTTAAATTAAACTGAAAACACTGACTGCAGTAATTAAAGGATATCTAGCAAACTTTTCTAAAGCAGTTTTCAGATGAGATGTTTCCTTCAAAATCGGAAAAAGATGACCTTTTGTACAAAGTGACGCCAGCATCTATCTCGCAGTTACATTCTTTCTGAAATATTATAGATTTATAAAGACACAACATTTTCGTTTGCTTTGCACAACTCAGTTAGGAATTTGGGTTAGTGCCACAACAAAAAAAGTGTGTTTGTCTGTGTTTTTGTAGTTGTGTTATTGTGTGTGGGGGAAGGGAGGAATAAACCAGAATTTGTACATTCTGTAAAAGGGTACATTTCTGAACGTCAGACAGACAAGAAAGCAAAGAGAGACACTGCAAGTACTTACCAGACATCACAATCTTACATTAACAGCAAAAATAGCACAAAACAGCAATTTCTCAGTTCTGTCTTGTTTATTTGGTACAAAGATTTTTTTGAAAAGCCACTAATGATAAAAATATATTTATTATACTATTACTTTAAAATAGCCACTCCACGCTATCATGATTTGTCGCAGGGGAGAAAGCAGGTGTAGCAGAGAGTTCTTTTAAAAAAAAATCCAGCACTGTTCAGTCTGTCAGGATCCCAGTACAGACACTCTCTCACAACGGCTCACAGGCTTATCACTCTGAGCAACTTCATGTTAACAGAAAGAGTGAGGGGGCTTTGAGCGTCAGTGGGTCTGTGTGGGCTGAGGTGGGGTGGTGCGGGGTCAGTGCTGGGCACATATTCTCATTACCTAACTTTGTATAATAATAGTAATACTTGCACTTGGTATAGTACCTCATCACGTTGGAAGAACATCTCAAAGCGCTTAACAGGATTCACTGTAAAGTGCAGTGACTGTGTATTTTGTAGACAACAACAACAAGATTCCATTTATTGAGCGCCTTTCACGTCGGGAGGATGTCCCAAGTAGACGTCCTAACCGTAGTCGACAAACTACGGTTGCACACAGTGACATTGCACAAGCAGCCATGAAGTGAGTGACCAATTTTATTTGGGGGATTGTTAGCCAGGACACTGGGAGAGAGAAACTTCCTTCTCTTTTCTAATAACGCCTTGGGATCTTTACCTTCCACCCGAACAGGCAGACGGGACCTCGGTTTGACGTCTCATCCGAAGGACAGCGACTCCGACAATCGCAGCACACCCCCAGCGCTGCATTGGAGTGTCAGCTTAGATTGTACATTTTGTGGACATGGACAGTTTTATTATTCTTTGGTGGTGGGGCGAGGAAAACAATAGATGGAATAAATCATTCTTATCCACCTCACAATAACCTAGACAGCAAAGCAAACGTAAACCAACAGGTGTGACCCACACTCACAGACTGTATCTATAAAAAGTCACATCCAGGACCCTGATAACTCTACCAACAAACCAGGCCGTTTCTGTCTCGTTTATTTATTGATTTTTAAAAAAAAATTAATATACATTTTGACTTTGAACGTGTTTTCCTGCAACGCAACCAGCCCATCCTCAGCTCTAACACTAAATACCACCCTCTCTGCCTTTCCCCTCAGCAGTGACCTGGGGTCTCAGCAAGTCGCAGCTAATTCACATCATAAATATGAATAAGAATAAGAAAACACAAGCCTCACACATTACATCTCCCCAGCTGAGCTGGAGGCATTACACTTAACAGCTGACACAGCAATAGGATCTCTCTCTCGCTCTGTGTCTTTCTATATTTCTCTCTTTGCTTATCTTGGGTCTATTTCTGTGTGTGTGTGTGTGTCTGTCTGTGTCTCTCACTCCCTCTCCCTGTCTGTGTCTCTCACTCACTCCCTGTCTGTGTCTCTCACTCACTCCCTCTCCCTGTCTGTGTCTCTCACTCACTCCCTCTCCCTGTCTGTGTCTCTCACTCACTCCCTCTCCCTGTCTGTGTCTCTCACTCACTCCCTCTGTCTGTCTGTGTCTCTCACTCCCTCTGTCTGTCTGTGTCTCTCATTCCCTCCCTCTGTCTGTCTGTGTCTCTCACTCCCTCCCTGTCTGTCTGCGTCTCTCACTCCTTCCCTCTGTCTGTCTGCGTCTCTCACTTCTTCCCTCTGTCTGTCTGCGTCTCTCACTCCTTCCCTCTGTCTGTCTGCGTCTCTCACTCCTTCCCTCTGTCTGTCTGTGTCCCTCACTCACTCCCCCTGTCTGTGTCCCTCACTCACTCCCTCTGTCTGTCTGTGTCTCTCTCTCACTGTCCCTCTCTGTCTGTCTGTGTCTCTCTCTCACTGTCCCTCTCTGTCTGTCTGTGTCTCTCACTCACTGTCCCTCTCTGTCTGTCTGTGTCTCTCACTCCCTCCCTCTCCCTGTCTGTGTCTCTCACTCCCTCCCTCTGTCTGTCTGTGTCTCTCACTCACTCACTCCCTGTCTGTGTCCCTCACTCACTCCCTAGTCTGTGTCCCTCACTCACTCTCTGTCTCTGCTGATGTCTCCATCTCTCTCAGTGTGTGCAGTGCTGATTGCGGTGATGTCTCCCCCGCACACACAGCCCCTGTATCTCCTGGTGCGGGGGATGGGGAAGGTTGGCTTTCGGTGTTTGTAGCTCAGCGGTTGCTGAGTCCGCAGTTCCCCATCACTCACTCACAGGGAACCCGCAGCAGCGCCGCTGGTCCCCAACTCCCGAGAGATGAGTTTGCAACAGTATTTACCCAGAAAAAACCCCCACCACCACATCCCATTTAAACATCGCTTAGAGTAACCCACAGCCGCTTCCCCATTCCCTATTCCATCAATTTACACTCAATGCATTGAGGAGAAAAATCGCAGACGAAGTCTAGACTGTTACTGTTCTTTTTTTTAAGCATTATTGGAGTGTGCAGATGTTGACAAATCATTGCATTTCCCTCTCACGTGGACCGTATTGCACATTGAAATAACTTAACAAAAAAATAAGATAGAAAATAAAATCTCTCTTTCTCTCTCTTAAAGGTTTAGCAGTCAGTCTGCTCCCGTCGACGGGCAAAGTAAAGTTGCGTTTAAAAATGTGAACACTTTGCATGCAATGAAATAATAATAATAATGATGATAATAATAATAATAATAATAATAATAATGCACAGAGGACTCATTGCAGAAATACTACCTCTGCAGATTGTGTGTCTTAACTACAGCAACGGATTTAAGAACCGCTTCGGCACATTTACACCGAGAGATTCTCCTTTCAGATCATTATTCTAAGAGAGAGAGATAGAGAGAGAGAGAGAGAGTGAGAGACAGACAGACAGACAGACAGACAAGAGAGTGAGAAAAATCCGCAGCAACACTCGCTGTTAAAACAGGTTACAAGAAAACAAACGCTCAACAGGTATCGGTGTCATCTCTCGACACTGACAATTCAAACACCGAACCCTTCGCGAACAGAATTGCCGCAAACTCACTCCGACTGTCTCTCTGCCCATTGCTGCAGAGCTGTGCGACGCAGATTGAAGACTGAGACCCCCTCCACTGCTACAGTGGGGAACTCACCATTCCTCGGCAGATCGGGCTCTTGCAATAACCCATCGCATTGGTCGGACTGACTGCACCGCCCCAGGTGATAAACGTTAAGCATTTAAACGAGAGTGAGAGAGAGAGAGAGAGAGAGGTGGAGCAGAAAGTCCATCCTTCCAGCAACCTTGGCATCCAGACCAACCCCCCCACTACCCCCTCCCACACACACACACTCACTCACTCACACACACACTCTCTCTCTCTCTCTCTCCATCACTCTCCTCCCATACAGGGGATGGCGATCCCTTACCACATGTCAAATGAAACCTTCCCAATAGCAACGTTCCCCATCGCCGGCTCATGGCAGAGAAATGTGCAGCACTCGCACTGAGTGTCGGTGTGGGTCTGAGATCCGAGCGGTCAGTCCCTTCCAAACACACACACGCACACACACACGCGTGAGTTCGTGTGGGTTTGGTGGAGGGACCTGTAGCTGTGCTGCTGGAGGTCCCACGGAATGAACCCCGGACTCGGCAGGAAAGGCCATGCAATGTTTCTCTCGGGTTCCCACTAAGACGTTTTGCAAATGACACGCGAGACAGCTGTGCGAGAGAGAGAGAGAGAGAGAGAGAGATTTTGTGTGACAGAAACATTCAGCACCGCATGTTTCTTCATTTGCATCACAATGTTTTTTTCTCTCTCTCTCTCTCTCGCTGTGGCTTGTGTTGGTGTTGGTGGTGGAAAAAAAGAGTGATCAATAATAAATCAGGTTTTCTTCCAACACCCCATCCCCTGCCCTAATTTATGTGCTTATAGGTTGCAATTCCACAAATTGCTCCTTCTGCCTTAACTTTCACATCCAATTTCTTTTCACGTGCACACAGGCCGCGCGCGCGCCATTCGTCGTTCATCGTGCTTATTTTTTTCTGCTGAGAACGGTTCAGAGGTGACACGTTTGGCAACGGAATGTGGCAATCGAGCCCGCGGTCTCCGGCGGTCGCAGTCGCCCGGTTTCCTGAGCCAGGAGGATCCGCGGTTTTCCAGGACACTGCTGGCTCATCGGCAGGACTTGGAAGAGCAGGCCAGTGATTGGGAGCAGGGAGTCATCCCACTCAGCTCCTGTTAACCCAAAGTCCTAACGGGTAGGGTGGTCCTAGCTGGACAAGCAGCGGGAAAGTTTGCCAGTCAACGCATTTGCATCAATGGTAAACTATGAGTTAATAATAATAATAATCCTTGCATTTTGATATAACGCTTTTCACGTCTTCTAGACGCCCCAAAGCGCTTCACAGAATATACTGTAAAGTGAATTGACTGTAAATTTGTGGGCGAACGCGGCAGCCAAGTGCGCACAGCAGTGTCCCACAAACAGTCGTGGATTGAAAATGACCAATTTATTATTGTTTTGTTTTTTTGGAGGGATTATTATTAGGCTCTGTGTGGAGTAAGGAAACTTGCACAAGGTTTCGCCCTCTGCCTGGAATTGAACTCAGGTCTCTCGCTTGCAAAGCGAGTGCTCTAACCACTGAGCTACAGGACTCCACAACTGGAGTTTCAGCTGGTTAGCAGTTACCGCACAACAACAACAAAATTACATTTATACATTTATAGAGTCGGGAGGACGCCCCAAACTCCAACGAACACTTTGTAGATCCCAAGCCTTGGCTCTTGCCAACCTACGCCTAATACTCTCTGGAATTAGGTAAGCAGGATGCATCCCGCCAGGAAGAGAATGGATTTCCGTTCCAACAAATATCTCTGGAATTTCCATGTATACAACAACAACGGAATTACACTTTACTATTTTCCAAACTTGTTTGATGTACAAGTTCTTTTTATATGTCTCTTACCAGGCTTTGCATTATTACAGCAGAGGAAAGCCAGATGTTGGAGTTATGGCTGCCTTCAGCGTAATCTATCTCTATCACTCTTTGGACTGTAACATTCCTAAGTAGTGCTGTAGACTTAGACAATTCATAGCATTATCACTACTTCACTTTGGATCAAGTCTCAGACTGCCTGGCCATGATTCACAGAATGTTCGAAACGTGACACTTGATTTGCAAGAAACTAGTCAAGATTTATGTTTAAAATGAACTATCAGATCCACTGGGAAGGATGAACTGTACCCTGGAGTGCTTAGCGAGACAAGGCAGGATATTCATAAGGTGCTGACAGACATTAAGAGGGCGTCAGTTAGCACTGGGGAGGTTCCAACAGGCAGGAAGCGAACAATTGTGGTTGCTGTAATCAAGGAAGGTGACAAAACCATATCTGGCAACTGCAGATGCGTTAGCCTGACCTCATTAATTGTAAAACTGATGGAATTGATCATTAACAGCGAAAATATACAGTCAATTCACTTTACAGTGTGTTCTGTAAAGCGATTTGCAATGGGTCAATGATGTGATACAGTTCTGTATCAAATGAAAGGATTATTATATGATATCCTATTCTCTCCATTGTCAATCTCTTGACATGTGTGCTCAAGGTTGCTGAATCCTCCCTATCAGAGAGATTGCCTTCAAGAAGTCCAGTCACATTTCTGTAGAACAATGCACTTTCACCAATAACTTTCAATTGATCAACTTAGAACATTGCATCCATGCTATGCTATCCTTGCCATTCCGACAAGCGCAATGTGTTGTAATCTGGAATGTTTCTGCTCCCACACAAGAAATATTATAATTAGCAAAGCAACCTCTCATTCTCACTGCTAGTTCCATCTTTAAAAAAATGTAATTATCTCATTCTCTTTATAGTTTGAGAGATAAATCTTCTGTGAAGAGCAGTGTGTGTGTGTGTCTGGGGATGGTGGTGGCAGGGAGAGATAAGTGGCCAATTTCCATTACAACACTGCAACACATGGCTCCCAATAGTGTTGTGCTATAAAAGTACCAGTTGGCTCAGAATTCAGACACACAGAGGCCTGAGCTTCACTCTTTTCTATTCTGATCTCACACAGAGCGAAGCTGGTGACATGCTGCGAATCCCAGTCTGGAGAGAGGAAAATTAGCCAACGTTCCTTCCACAGGGGGATTATTCAGCCTTCTCTACCCTGGTGAGGGGAGTACATTAGTTACAATGATGAAGAGATTGGGTGAGGGTGGGCTGAATTCAGGATGGTCTGATTATGTGTTGGGATTGTTAGCCCAGCTGGGTGTCGTGATGCATGTAGAAACCCCAGTACCAGACTATCTAAACTAGACTAAGAGTTCCACATATGCATGCTACTTACACATGGACATTTTCTAGTGTCTGGAATGGAATTCACACTCTCTCTCCCTGGAAGGACGCAAGCTGCTTAGGGAGTATTAGTCATGGGTTGGCAAGAGCCAAGGCTTGAGGTGTGCGTTGGGGTAACTGTTGGAGTCTAACTAGCTAAAACTGCATAGCTCACCGTTAAGAGTGACTATCTGGTAAGCTTTACTGCTGCTTGTCCAGCTATGTCACCCTACCTGCTTCGGCTTGCAGGGTTAACAGGTGCCGAGTGGGAAGAATCCCTGCTCCCAGTAGCTGGTCATTGCATTCTAGAGAGTATGAGTGGAGAAAATTGGAGAGCAATAAAGAGTCTTTGCGCAGAAGGAATAGATACAAACTGTTGTGTACGGCTATGAGTGGAGAAAATCCCCAGACACTGAAACAGACAGTGAAAAATATCAGCAAATTAGCTGAGTCTGTTCAAAGCATTTTGAGATAAGGCACTGTATCAACTGCAAGGATTATTGCGCTCACACACTCTGTTTCAATCTCCTCATTCTACTTTCTTGTTTTGATCTCTAGCAATCTCAGATTGCTCTGAGGGTTGTGCTGTTTTCTTGGTGTAATGCGTCTGCTCTATATTTACACACAGGCTAGAAGGCTACAGCTACAATCCTGCATGGGTGACTGCTTGCCTTGATGAGGGTCTCTGTGTTCTCTTTGTCTTGCTGAATGCAATGTAAACGTGAGGAGAACGTATGTTGCAGATGCCAGCGCTTTCTCATTCATCCCTCCAGATTCCCCATTAATCACGAGTTTCCATGTTGCCAAGTTTGTTCCTAACATCACCAATTGAGCCTGATTCCAAAGATATCTTGTAAAATGACCTCTAGTTTACCTTCCTCGAGGATGGCACAGCTCCAATTCGTACAGATTGAACAAACACGCAAGATATTTAATAACCTCCATATCGCCATCATTTCTCTGTCTAATGAAGTTTTTAACGCATTCCATCTTCTGTAAAGCTGTGTCTCGGTTGGGTTCTGCCAATGTTACAGCTGCTGACACTGGGTTATGCAGTATAGTATTTAAAAATGTGAAGGATTATTTCTTGGGAAAAGGAACAAAGAAAGCACGTGCAGCCTAAATGGCAAAGTTCTTAAGTGGGAGTTCTGAGGTGGGAGTGCAGGAAGCTATAAAATGGCAAATGGGACTCTTGAGTCTCTCTGGCTTTATCTGTTGCATTTACTATAAAATCAAGTGATTGATGTTCACTGGTTGGCTTGCATTGCATGCAATTCTGGGTCCCATTATAGAAAGGATGTGAGAACCATGGACAGGGTGCAACTAAGGTCCGCACAGATCATACCAAGGACAAGGGGTTATATTATACCGCAGTTAAAATGATATGCCCACTAATTGGGTTTATTTTCTGCAGAGAAAGTTAAAGGGTATACAGTAACAATGCTTCACACTGCTTGGTCAGTGGTTAATAAGAGAGCACAGACTCAGGATTGTCACTGGTAGAGTTTAGGGGGAGGGTTACGTAAAATTGTTTTACAATGAGGGTGATTACAATGTGGAATACTTCACATGGACATGACCGAGAAGAGCTGGAGAATATCAATCGATAGCTCCAAAGGAGGGGGAAGCAATGATATTTAGTAACAGTTATTCCAAGAAAGTTCAGATAAAGAAGACCAATTGGCCTATTTGATCTAATCCTTCCCCAATACCCTACAGTCATTCTCACCCATGCCTTCTTTATGTCCAGGCTTGATGATACTAACTCCCTGCTTGTTCTCCCTGCTCGACTTCCTATCTCTTCCCTCCACAAACTGCAGATTACTCAGAACACCACAGCTTGTGTTCTTTCCCATATTAAGCTCCGCCCTGCCTTCAACACTTTAACCGCAGTTTCAGTCATCTCCAAATCTCTCCCGCACCTTGCTTGCTGTCCACTGCTTCCCATCAGACAGTCTTTTATGTGAAGGTGCAATCTTCTCAACAGACTGGCAGG